CTCATATGATCTAAAGTCTATTATCCAATGCTGTGCCTGGCAAACACCGCAAGGAGTTACTGTCAGTTTATCAGTTAGGAGGATGATCCTATCTGAGAACCGCTCTTATCCACTTCAAGCAGCGCAGGTTCCCATGTTTTACAGTTTAATCTTCAATTCGCTACGATGCTGGGTGATTGACCGCAATAGAGGTACAGAAGAGAAAGGAAAAACACCTCATGTATTTTTGTTTCTCCCGTTTTTCCGGGCCCCAACAGCCTGAGGCGGTCTAACTGACACACTAGCAGTGAAGATGCCTACCGATGATATTAGCTTTCTGTCATTTCTGAAAATAAACAACATTCTCGCGACACGCGTCCCCCTCGCCATTTTCCCTGTCTGTATTTATCTGTGTACATTACGATATTAAGTAAAAGCCTTGATCACGTATCGGGGCTCACAGAGACCTTTGTCCACCTTGCTGGTTCCTTCTCCTTTCTTTCCGTTTTCCCCCCTTTCTTTCCTGTATAGATGTGAGCGCCCCAGGGGTGAGAAAGGTACCATGAAAGGATTATGACAATAGTGACAATCAAGTTTGGATGATTGTGTCCACAGTTATGGATCATCCACTCTTCCGTCTTAATTTTTAATTTCCTTCTTGCCGCGGAGACGAGGCCCTTTGGCTCTGTTATAATGACGAGTAGCTATGGAGAAGATGACTTGGAAACGACCATTTTTTTTTTTCGGTTGATTAAAGAGGTCTTTACATATGTGTGCGCATGCTGCCTCGTGTAAACACCGAGGGCTTTGTTTAATTTGAATCGCAGCATGCTAGGCTGAATTACAAACAAAACTGCGTGGAAAAGGGGAGAAAATTTTCCAAAGATGGTTTGTGATCAGCCCTATCCAGAATGCGTGGAAAAACAAGTCTGAAGTCAAGTCTGTAGCTTTCAGATGTCCTGTGCGTTGTTCGCTTTTTTCAACTTTGCCTTTGCAGCGCACGCGTACAGCAATCTTTGTGATACTGCTGTCAAGTTGTGTTGCTCAGTTTTTGGACTATAAAGTTGTTGATTTTTTTGTTTGGTTTGGTTTTGGAAAGGACACCGCAGGTCACATACATGTACCACTGGCAAACAAGTCCCAGACGGGAGGCTAAACTCATACCTAAAAATAAGAAATGAAGACATATTCCACACCAGATAATATTTTGTTGGATGACAAATTGTAACACCACTGAACCTCTCTTTCTCCTTGCAATTTGTTAAAGAATTGAACTCCCTTGACTACAATCTGATATCCACAGCCTGTCATGGGGCACCTACAGTCACCTGGCAGCCTGTAACCTGCCTGTTGCAAGGAAAAACTCTTCGCAACAAGAATGGACTTTAACTTTGTTTGAATACAACGCCTGAATAAGTCTGCATCATCTGATTGGTGGGATGCAATCACATGTCACTGAATAAATTGGTTTTTATACACACTAAGGCCGCAATGAAAAATAATAAAAACTAAAAACCTTGAATTTTCTGATCCACAAGTGTGCACAGAATACAAGTAGAATATCCTTCTCATGATCACACAAAATATGTAAACTTTTAAGTGATGTGGACATTTATTCAAGTCGAGTTTTACTTAGGCCCTGTACAAAACAAAGCATAGATAAATTTCGTATTCATGCAATAGAAAGAATGAAATGATCATTTTGAAATGATTATTTCCAGTATGTTTTACCTAATGGGATGGAAACTTCCATCTACCGGTATCACCTCATAACTTTTATATTCTTACCAAGTAACTCCTAAATGTTCATTTGCACACTGGACTGGTTACATCTCCAAGCAAATTCTGGGAATTGGATGATTGAATTATAAATGGCACCAGAGTTAAAAGTTGTAAGAACAGGCAATGCCTGGCCTAGGTACGGCAGAATTCCCACTTTGACAACTGACCACTGGAAGAATCACTTTACTCTGAATAACACTTTTGCAGTTTTTCCCTCAGACCAAGTCACACACACTTAATAAAGGAAAACAAATAGAAGAGATTAAAAATCTTATATCGACTACTGATGCCGATGCAAAGCTCTCAAGGAACAGGTAGTGCTTTCTGACTCAGTTGAAGTGCCAGATCAACACCTCTGTGGCAGTTGCGAAATGTCAGCCACTGCAACAAAACACTTCTTGGTATTACCGGTACATCTACCGTACCTCGTGTCCATCTGTCAAGGACACAGGATACATGTATCTCTTCAAAAGAGACAGGCCAACAACTTACGTCTTTAAAAAAATGTGATTCGTCAGTTTCATTAACAATAACAACTAAAGAGCCTGAAGGCAAGATAACAGTGTTGAGAATAGCTAAAATAATCTAATAATGACGGCCTAATCTGATGAACTTCAGGAGACTCACAAACTCTTTAAAGTACGAGAAAACCCTACATAAGCATCACTTCTCTTTCTTTACTTTTTGAATAAATGACTGACAAAACATTTCATATTATTTCACTTGCTACCCTGTAAAATTGAATCACTTTCTGCAATTACTAATGTGCAACGGTACACAAGAAATGTGATACCACATTATGAGATATCTGAGACCGAAAATTGATCCGCCGCTTTGCACTCGGTGACGTTGCGACGGACGGTTATTGTAGATAAAGATACACAGAGCGTGAGAGAGGGACGGAGATGGCGAGAGGGGGGGAGATGAGCTGAGCTGCAGCACTCGCCCGTTATCGTCGACATCGCACGAAAGGGGAGGTGAATGACTTACACAGACATGTTAGAAACAATAATACAAGTAATTCAAAAGGGCTTTTCCCCCTCACTCTGCTTCTCTTGATGTTATTGCTGGTTCTCCCGGGAGCGGGGCATCTCAAGTGAGCCGTTCTACATTGCAAACTCTTGTTTATTAAAACTGCCGAGTTGCAAACCGCATCAACAACAACAATACAGTTCAGCTGGATTCTTTTTCCGTTTACTGACCCACACCCACATGTGCAGTCCTAAGCATGTATGCGTAATATTGCAAGCATGTATGATTTCGGCGTGAGCTTTTGTTACAACACAGGGAAATGATTAAAACAGAAAGGGAAAGAACCCCCCCGACAAATATAAACACACTAACACCCCCCCCAAAAAGACACAAACAAGCAAATAAATGTAGAGCCCTGTGTATTTAATATTCAGACTGTAACTTGCCTAATTGGCATCCAGCACATGAAGCCAAAACGCTGGCTTTTAGCTTGTGTTTAATGCTTTGCCTATAACACAGATTAGTCCGTGCTGTCCTCCGAACACAGCCACATGATAATTTACACAATAAATGTACGTGATGTGATAGCAACAGCAAGTGGATGTGCACAAGACATCGTCCCGGTGGGTTCCTTGGAGACGACAATTAAGACTGATGAGCAATCATTATCCCCGACGACTGCGACAGCTCAAGGCACCCCACCGTCCACCGCCAATAATTATCCCCGACTGATCGGGCTTGAAATACATGTATGTCATCTTCTTTGATAGAATAATCCACACTTGCAGGCCCAAAGCTGCATCACTGGTCCCCCAATCAAGAACAGGGACTGATCTCCCTCCCCCCACTCAATCAGTGGCTGATTAGACTCAGCATTCCAACATTCTGGGTGCACAATAATTTGATTTACAAACAAACACATCAAAACATGATGCGCCTGGATCCTTATCTCTCAATAGATTCTGGGAGGGGGGGAATGATCCTTGAGTAAACCAGCCGAGTCCCTGAACTGCTAACTGAATGCGAGTCCAAATGCGGCGAGAGTGCATTCACGCCAGACCCATGCATGCGAGTACATGTACATGGTCAATGCCCCCCATGAAAACAACATCACCCATCTACAACACACACAAATCAATACAATCCCCGCACAGGCTGGCTGTTATCTCAACCCTTGCGTATTTACCCAAAATCTAATATTTTCCAAATTATTTGAAACTGGAGTCGAGGTTAATGTGGTGGGGCGAGCGACCGGAGAGGCAGAATTGACTCAGCAGAAACAGAGAGATAGAAAGAGAGAAAGTGGGGGAAGAAAAAAAAGTGCAATTGGTTAAGTGCTTGCTTTGCTTGTCACCTGCCCGGTCAATTAAGGACAGAAGTTCCTCCACTGTGAATCGTGCAAAAACATAAGGGCTCGGGGTTCCAGGGAGCATCAAGTGTTGGAAAAATTTCAATTGGTGATTCTCCCAAACAAGTAGTGTTTACTTACACTGGCATCAATCTGGGGCCAACAGATCTACAGTGGCATGTGGATGCACAGACACGCGAACAAAAAGAAGAACATGCTGGAATTTCTATCAACTTTGTTGAAAATCTTCATTCTTTCTAATGATAATCGGCTTCATAAGAATGCATGGATTAAAACCTTTTTAAAATTGACAATGCAGTTGCCAGTTTTAAAAGCTACAAATGACCACTAGTAGGACCCTAATAGCATATTTACAACATACATGTATATGCCAATGTACATGTACAGTGTACATGTGCATGTATGTGCATGTACATGTACACATCCATGTCCATGTACTGTGTAGTAATGTGCTGAAACTTGATGGAACAAGTACACGTATTACAACACCCAAGCAACATTACATGACATAAAAGCAGATAAGATCTGTCAAAATGGGAGGAATATTGCTTCAGTTTCACTTTACTGAGGCATTACTGATTTTCCTGAATGAGATTTGTGCAAACAGTTGGAACGCGTGACTAAAAACTTTGCGATAGGCTGGTGCAAGGAAGTCTTGTTTACATGTACATGTATGTACTGGATTTCCAAAACCTTCCCTGTATTCAAATGCACTTTCAAATCCTGACGATGAGTGAAGTACAAGTACTTACCAAGTCAAATGGGATTCAAATCCAGCACTATGACCATGTCAAATGGGATTTAAATCTAGCACTATGGATCGGTGCGGCAGTGTTCCTCTCAGTTTTATTTTGGCGCGCCAGTTTCAAAGCGTGAGTGACGATGCACATTCACCTACCTGTTGCTGCTGCAGGTAAGACTGCTGCTGCATGAGCAGCTGCAACTGCTGCGGCGTCAGCACCTGCTGCTGCAAGAGCTGCTGCATCTGCTGCTGGGACAGGTGCTGGTGGAGCAGAAACTGCTGCTGTTGTTGCTGCTGTTCAGCTGCCGCCGCAGCTGCCGCGGCTGTCTTTTCCAGGCCGGTGGGGCTGGACCGGCTTGTCGGCTTCTGGGAAGGGTGGAAGTGGGGAACATTTTGGTGATGCGGCGACCGGCTTATCTCCTTTGGGAATCGGGAGGGGGAGGGAGTGGATGGAAGAAATGGCAAAGCAAAAAGATACATCAAAGTGACACGCAGACAACTTCGGACTTCCGAACCCAATTTCAAGCCCCGAGTGAATTTCACTCTCTATGGACGGTCAACTTTCAAGGTAAAATTATATCAGAAGGATGAAGAGGGTAGGAGGATGAAGAAGAGGAGATTGCAGGTGGGATGAAGAAAAACCCAGGAAACATCCAGCAGAGAGGTTGAAACAACAACAATAAATTACACTAAATCTTTTAAAGACTCCTCAAGCAAGTACTGGTTACACGATCTAATTGCTTTCCCAACTGGTTATAAATTTGTGAAACATTACTTGCTTTGTACACGAAGTACTGAAAAGTGGCAAAACCCGACAGATTAAAAGTAAACAATCAAGAATCTTTGGGTCAAAATTCCTGAAATCCGGGGGGGAAAAGGTGGCAATCTGAATACTTAGTGTCAAGGAAATAGACGTGTACATGTTCGGTAGTTGTATAGATCAATAGAAACCAACTAAAAATTAAAGAAATTCAAGATTTTTAGCTTTTATTATTGAGAATGACTGCAAAAAATGATCTGTTTATAGCTTGAGTCAATACATATAATATAGTAAAACTGTGATCAAAGCAAGGAAGGCAGCAGCACAGGGGGGGGGAATACATGTACACAATCAAAGAACATCTGCCAAGAAAGATTCTCCACCAGCTAAGCTTCGATTGGCCCAGAGCACTGAACGCTAGTATTTTCATTGCATTCTGGGGAGTGCCTTGTCCAGGCCAAAAAACAAAAACAAACATCTGTTTAGAATGTTGACAAGGGTGGTCAGGTGACTGCGCCGGTGGATAAACAATGCTGGAGCCCCCCATATCGATATGAAAATAAACGACCAACTTCTGCTCTGCCAAATGATCGTAGGAGGGAACGGTTTCAGTCGACTGCCTATTGACTCGTCGGCATTTTTACTAGGGGGAAAAATAGCATTATTGACATGTTTACACTGTACCATGCCATTAAGGGGAAGTCTTGGAAGAGAAACGAAATATATTCTGCACTGCAGTTCTTCTCTCAAACAATAAAACCTTCAACTTCTCAATAAGGAAATAAAAACAAAAAACTAAACACTGTAGAATTTTTATTAATTCACAATGGAAATCCCTTAAAGGCTGTTTGTACAACTTCACTATGTCTATTTAAAACTGAAGTGACGGTGAAGTTTGGATTCATGATCTATACATATGTGAGCATTCTCAGCATGTATAATGCATAGTCCTGCCACCATCTGCATGACTTTTTAATCTGTCACAAAATGCTTCACTGGTAAACGGTCTCGCATTTTCCAACATTAATAATTATTCCAAATGCTGGAGACAAGTGCCACAAATGGACGCATAGACCGGTACAAATTATAGGTATTGCGTGCCCTAGAACTTCACAATTTTATAGGCAAGTCAACAGCCTCCCCAGACAGCAATTTTATGCATGTATATACACTGCATACATGTACTTGTTCAGGTTCAGCAGGCAAATTCACATGTTGCACATTCAATATGTCATTAGAAGTTCGCTGTACCGTATGTACATGTAAAAGTCTTTTTTTTTTTAAAACTGAAGATTACATTTTAACAAGTACAGTGCTGCTAACCAGCCAATTCTGAACCAACAGAGCCTCCGTCTATTTCATGGAGACTATTAAGAAGTATGTGCAATGAAAGCGTGAATAACCCCAAAGGGACTAAAGAAAGAGCTTGAATCAGTGATACAACTACAGAAATCTCCATGAGCATATGAACGACAGAAGTATGACCTCAGGGTACATGTACGTGACAGCATACGCTCAATCAGATTCTTGAATCATGTGGTTACATCAAGATGACAGAATGGTCATCACTGAGAGTAATGTGCATGCAACCTTTTTCTACACCAAGAGCAACGCGCAGGAGCGAGTTTGTGCACATTCAAATGAAAATTGATCATGCGTCACAACAGCATTTTTACAAAGTGCTTGAGCCGATGTGTACTCTGACCAGAGCCCGGCTACTCGTGAGCCCAAAAGAGAGCTTACCTCCGACGTGTTGTGCCCATCCTCATCGGCAGACGAGTTCCGTCTCTTGGTGACTGGCGGGCTGGAGCTAGCGAGCGCCGCTTCACTCATCGAGACTGCCCCTTGGTGCACGCCACTTGTCACGCTGGAAAAGTACCTCTGCAGGTGAAAGGGGAGGGTGGTAAGAGAGGGACAGACAAGTGAAATTGGTGATCCCAGTCCACACAGGAATTGCCATGGGTCAACGGTTGTGAACACAAAATAACACCTGGTGATCCAATCAAGACAAAGTTAAAAAAAAACTTGCCACAGGTAACCTTTTCATACTCGTACTTCAACTACATGTAAGTAAACGTAAACTTTTAGAAAACCACATGTGTGTTGAAAGATTAAAAACCTGTCTGGGCAATTTTCTGAATTAGGAGTCAAACTGGGTAAGACCCCTGCTGCCCATACTGCTGGTTACATTAATACATGTACATTGGTTTAATTAAGTGGTTACAATCCTTAATTCAGAAAATGAAAATGTGTACATGTACATGTGTGAGCTTTTGAAAAGAATACCCCCCCACCCTACGATCTGCTTTGAAATTCGGTTTCCCATACTCTGTGACCATGTCATTTGTGAAAAACACTCTGAAAATGGAAAGCATTCCATTCTCCACAATATCATTCCAGGAACTTGACTCCTGTTCTTGAAGTTGAAAAGAATTAGCAAACACCCACACAATGCCACACGGTCCGAGGACAGTTTATTTTCCTTGAGAGTGAGGCAGAGAGAGAGAGAGAGAGAGATGTGCCATATTTTTTTCCTTCTTTCTGAAGTATGAATGTGCATCAACACCACATCGGAACAGCGATTTTTATGTAACGCTCCCCTGAGTGCTCCAGCGTTACGTACGGTGGCCACTGGGCAAAGCCGTCGATTTTCATTGTGCGCGGCACCTCCAGGAGGGAAAAATGCTGCGGGGACGAAGTTTATCGCAGCAAAGGAAATGGAAAATCTATACAAAGTAAACAGGTAGTGGGTAAGATGGGGATACACCGTGTATACGGCTACAGGTGTGTTGGCCTGCTAAATTGATATTTTCGCCCCCGGCCCCTTCTGGCGATGAAAATAATCTTATTTGGGGCTGTGTGCTGGACTCGGCGGATGATTCAACGAGTGCAAGGCAGCCTCATCGGTTGGAGACTACAGGGGGGGACGGGGCAGGGGGAGAGAAACAGGTGAAATATCCTAGGGTTGGGGGAGACAGACAATGCAGGTGGCCTGTTATAGCAAGTTAGATAATCAAGAGAAATAGAATCATCGCAGGAAGGTATTCTCCTTGAATAAAAAAAAAGGAAAGAAAAAAAGAATAACCAGGAGTACGCTACTTAATGACCAAGCCAGAGGCTTTACAAAAGATACATGTGGCTATTACACAAATAACACTGAGCAAACACCATGTGTCATAAACTGATCAATGGAAGTACATGTACGGATCAAGAAAATGCATTAAACGCTTTTATAAAAACATATTTAACAATTTCATCACAGTCACAAACGACATTCCAAACCGAATGAAAAATGTAGCCTGTTTATTATACATGTGCCAATGGAGTATTTTTGCATGGCTGCCATCTTGCAGGCCAGTGCTTTTGTTCCACGGCATATGCACAAAGGAGGTTTCAACTGTGGAACAAAACAACGACTAATACATGTACCATGCAAAATGGCTACCACACAATGCCTTTAGATCAGAGCAGCATAAATCTACATGTATTTTCCACATGGACAATGTAGCAAAATCCCTTGCCAATTAGAAACAGGTTTTAAGACAATCAGATGTCAAGGCAACTAGCTGCAGTGCACAATTCCATCACTTGCAGGTGACTAGGGGCCAATTTTGTGATAATGGACTCAAAACAGCTCAAAAGTTGAGCTTTGTCAAAAAAAAGTACTGTAACCTAAAGTGCATTTCATAGCGTAAATATGCTGATTCAAATTACATTTTTTAAAAACTAATTCAGCAACTGTTAGTTTGGAAGTTGAAGCTAGTACTGCCTTTCGACACTCAACAGTAAAATAGCGGAAGATTAAAATGGGTTCAGTTATGGGCACTGAATTCAAAACCCAAAATGTACCTGGAGCTGGGTTGTGACAACAAGACCTGCCACATTCTTTTTTTTCATTTATTTGCTGCCAGTTGCTATATTGTGTGACCTGTAGCATTCAAGTTCTGAGTACCAACAAGTTAAACGGTCAAAAAGGTATTATATCACAAGGCATCTCATGCTGATTTGATCACCTCTCTCTGTGGGTTTTTTATAAATTATAAGGTCTATTTTGGGGGAACTACTAATTATCCAATACGTGAGTGGCAATTCAACTCTTTGACTGCAGACAACGTACTCAACTCGTTGCAAGTAGTATACAGAAGAAACTTACTTGACCACAGAAATGTTTACAGAAGAAGGCCGTGTCCGAAATGGGCTTCCAGAGCTATGGCTAGGTCTATTGTCTGCGTGTCTCTACCTAATTCCAATGGAGCGAAGACCTAGACCTAGCTCTAGACAAGAGATTCGGATGCAGCCGAAATCAGGCACAATGACTTGTCATGCTGGTTTGGAATATTACAAGTTGAAAGGTCTTTCATAACAAGATCTTTCACCTGCTTGAACAAAAAAAAAGTCCTTACCACAAAAATTAGGCTGCCTGCATGTACATAATCAATCTCAGATACACACTCTGTC